GGAAAAAAAGGTGAAGAAAAAGGTTCTGAAAGGAGGTTGATGGAGGCGATTAAGGCCTCTGAATTGAGGATCATAGATTCTGTGAAGCAGATGATGAGGAAAGCAGGATTTCCGGTGGATGAAGAACCCTTCCACCACCTCTGGGCCCTCTATTAGTTATTCTGCCCGCAGTCTTTGTTCGCACCCTCTTCGGTGGTGGATCTGTCATATCAGGCTCGACAAATGGACTTCTGAGAGCTGGCCCTTGGAACAACGTTCGTTTGGAACGTGTCATGGGTCCAACGACTTCAGTCAGTGATGGAGTTAGGGCAATAGCAGGCTGGGAAATAGGAATGTTAACAGGGTCCACGGATGCTTTGTCATCAGGGGCCACTGCAGCAGAGTCCTCAATGACAATATTAGCAGGCTCTTCAGGTTTGTGGGCAGCAACATCCTCGGTGGCTTCGGCCGTAGGGTCCTTGGAGACATGAGCAACTGCATCCTCGGTGGCCTCAGGTTTGTGGGCAGCAACATCCTCAGTGGCTTCGGCAGTAGGGTCCTCGGACACGAGGGTAGGAGCATCCTCGGTCGCTTGGGCAGCAGGGTGCTCGGAGACGTGAACAGAATCGTCCTTGGTGGTTTGGGCAGTAGGGTCCTCGAACATGAGGGTAGGAGCATCCTCGGTCGCTTGGGCAGCAGGGTGCTCGGAGACGTGGGCAGTAACATCCTCAATGTCTTGGGTAGCAAAGTCCACTTCCATAGGGTTTTCTTCATGGACGTTTGGACTCGTAACCCCCCCTTCCACGGTTCTGGGAGGAGTATTAGACACCCCCTCGGAGCCCTCGTCATCACTTTCTTCACTACGCCCAACCTCAACCCGAGCTTTAAAATGGTAAGGAATATCCTTACCGGCGTCGTAATCACTCGTTGATGAGCTTCTATCCACATCTTCACCCCCATCTCCCTGTATCTGTGAACGGGGAGTACGCACATCCTCACCACCAACCCCCTGAAAAGGTTCTTCACCCACCAGAAATCCTGCTTTCCTCATCATCTCCTTCACTGAATTTATGATCCTCAATTCAGAGGCCTTAATCGCCTCCATCAATCTCCTTTCAGAACATTTTTCTTCTTCTTTTTTTCCTTTTTTTACTTGTTTCTTTCTTCCATGTTGTTCTTGTTCTCTTCTTTGTACTTCTTCTTCTCCTTCTTCCTCCTCTTCTTCGTCATCTTCTTCTTTTTCTTCTCGATTCTTTTTCTTGTCCTTCTCTTCTGCTTTCTTATCGGAAGCAGCTCCCCTGGCATCGACATCAAGAGCACGAATATGCTCAAAACAAATACTTTTTGGATCGACCTTCAGTTGTTTCATCCAACTGCGCACATCCGAATTGGTAATATCTTCGTCATCAACCTCAGCAAGAAGAGATTCCTCTTCCACACTTTCTACTCTAAGAATACTTCGAATGCCCTGAAACCAAAACACAACAGTTGTCAGCCAATATGACATGTGAGACCAGAATTAAAAATAAACAGTGTGACCAACGTGACCAGTGTGACCAACATGACCAGTGTGACCAACGTGACCGGTGTGACAACGTGACCAGTGTGACCAGTGTGACTAACGTGACCACCGGAATTTAGAATCATTCTATAATGATTCAAGGATACCGAAATATAACAAACATGCCAATCATATAACGGAATGTAACGCATTCATAAATCAATGAATCAATACAATGTCAAAATGTCATATCACGGAACATCCTAGAGCATTACAACCAACACAATGTGACCAGTGTGACCAACGTGACCAACGTAACCAATGTGACCAGTGTGACCAACGTGACCAGTGTGACCAGTGTGACCAATGTGACCAGTGTGACAACTAAACCAGTGTGACCAGTGTGACCAGTGTGACCAGTGTGACCAACGTGACCAACGTGACCAACGTGACCAGTGTGACCAACGTGACGTACGTGACCAACGTGACCAATGTGACCAGTGTGACCAACGTGGACATCTTCAACAGTCGTGCACCAACTGTTTGTGCAAAGACTTTCGATGCATTCGAAAGGAAGCACCATGAGAGGGACAACAAATCCAGTCAAGCGCCATCTCCCCTTCGGTGTAGGACTTTGTAGAATCTTCCGCAACTGTTCTACCAATTTGTCGAATGAGTACCTGCCCCACGGAAATTCTTCGCATAACTCAAGTTCATCGACCATATCAACCAGATCATGGTTGATAGAGTCATCGTTTCTGTTCTCGGGGTCGAGTACCCCGGATAGCAACATCAGTGTCGCCAATCTCTTTCTGTCAATCCGACTGTGTTTACTCTTTTGCAACTTTTCCATAACTGCTTTCCTCGTGACCTTCCCAGGTCCGAAGGTCTTTATCCGAAAATCGCTTTTCCTGCGCCCTTCCCAATCTTCCGGATACTGGTTGCACTTCAATCCTGATATAATGGCGTGCTCGGTTATAGAATACCTGATAGGAACGCCATTTAAAACAAACCATAACTGCCCTTTTTCCTCCTCTAACTTCAGCGTTCGGTGTAGGAGTACTGACACAGACAACATCTTCATGTTTTCGTCACATTTCAAATGGAATATGTGACGAAACTGTGAATCCTCGTTGAAGTACCTCCACTCCTCGGAAGATAATACCTCTTTCAGATTTTTTATCGTCTGACTCAAATAACATTTGCTTTCAATCTTCGGTGCGAATTGAATATCTGAAAAATCATATATGAACGGAACCTACAAAGAAGAAATCAACCCTCAATAAGTCAGTGTGACCAACGTGACCAGTGTGACCAGGTAAACCATAAATCCGTTTCGGTGAGTATAACAACCCATTTTCCACCATAAATCATACGATTAACTTAAAAATCATAAACTCAAACCAAAAAACCCAGATTTCTTGCATCGCATCAAACTCAAACTTACCTTCAGTTCCTGGTTTTTCCTTCCGCCACGTCCCGATTTGCGAGCGGGAGTTGAAGTCTTGCTTTCATTTCTGTTCGATTTTGAAGCCATTGTTTTGATTTCTGAGAATCGAGAGAGAAATGATAGGATTTCGCCGGATTTCTTCGAACGGTAGAGAGAGAGAAGCAGTTTCGAAATTTGTCTCGAAAAAGACTAAGTTACAGTGTCGATTGGGGAAGATTAACCGTCTTTCCCTTCCTATTGCGCCACGTATCGTTTTTTATAAGGCCTTTTATGTCTTTTACTCGTTTTCTTTTTTTTTTTGAAATTCTAGGATTTCGAAGGGTATGGCGTAAAGTCATTGTAGCAAACTAGGAGTATTTCTGCTATTCTGTCAGTTCAAACAGATTTAGTAAATGATATCCACGTATAATCAATATACCACATCATTATACTTATTTAATAGAAAATGATATTTTTTTTTGAAAAATCAGAAATTATATTTTAGGGTCCGTTTGAACCACGTCACGATTTTACATAGATATCGTTCATTAAATCTGTTTGAACCACATCAACGGTTTCGTTTGCACGTCACAGTTATCATGACGTGGGAGTTAATTAGTTAATAATTTATAAGTATAGGATTTTATGGGTTAATTAGATTTAGATTTAGAGTTTATTTGATAAAAAAAAGTATAAAATTTTTCGTTAAAGCATAGGAATTTTTTGGCCACTACCCTTTATTTTACCATGGAGACTTAGATTTCAAAGAAACATAAGGCTACTTTTATATGTCACACTTGCGCATAGATATCGCAATGTGATTCTAATAGGGTCAATTGAACAAGCTTATAGGGTCAATTAACCAAACTGTACACACATCACATTTTTTAATAGAAATTCACATTAAACAAAAAAATATATAGAAGAACGTTTTTTGTATTTTTTCTTTTTAAAATTTTTTATATTCCATTTTTTTTGGGGTTCAGCCAATTTAAATTTAAAAAGCTTATACCATTTTGTACATAAAATTACATTCGAATACAATTAATTTAAATTTAATTTCTCTGGTTCCATTCAATGGTGTATATAAGTGAACACCGGAAGGCACTAAAGTTTGTCATTTAAGCGCTTAATTATTTCAAAGTTATATGGGACACTAGTTGTAAATTAACGTGGTAAATAATCTTGCTTCACATCTTCGTACTGTGGAAGAGCTGAAGGTCGTCCTCGTCACGGCTTTAGCTCTGTCTCTCTCATGCTTCATGTTCCGTTATGGAGATTTCGTCTTCAACCTATCACTTCACGTCTCTACAGATGTGGTTTCTGCGTTTGGTCATGCTCTTACACATCACTTTCTTCTCCTACGATGGTTTCCGGATCTTCGAGCTGCTCTGTTATTACTAAAAAAACCCTCTTCGATTTCATCGGTCATGTTCTCCAACGATGCATAACGGTTCATCAATGTCGCCAAGTGCACGCGCAAGTTATCGCCTCCGACATGATGAACCGTTCTGGGTTCTTGGCCGCCAGATTAGTATCGGTTTATTCTGAATCGGGTCTCCTCCTCGATGCCCGTAACGTGTTTGAGGGTGTAATTTCATCTCTTGTTCCTTCTGATTTACTCTTGTGGAACTCGATCCTGAGAGCTTACATATATCATGGATCGTACGAGGTTGTCCTTCAGCTTTACGCGGAAATGCGTAAAAGAGGTGTTCTGGCTGATGGCTTTACTTTCCCTTTAATCCTTCGGGCTTGCAGGTTTTTGGATCGTTATGATTTGTGTAGGATTTTGCATAATCACGTTATTCAGATGACTTCGCGAGATAATCCCCATGTGGAGAACGAATTGCTGTTGATGTACTCAAAGATGGGAAAAATGAGAGACGCCTACAATCTGTTTGTTAAAATGTCCGTACGAGACCAGATTTCATGGAATTCTATGATTTCGGGGTTTTCCCTGAATTATGATTGTGACAGTGCTGTAAGGATGGTTGAATGGATGCAATCAGAAGGGTTTGAACCCAATGAAGCGACTTTGACTCCATTGTTATCTTCTCATCGTCGATGTGGACGACATGAAGAAGTTATCAAGTGTTTCGATGTGATGCGAACACGAGGAGTTACAGCTAGCGGTGAAGCTCTTGCTGTTTTCTTCTCTGCTTGTGCTGATTTGGGCGCATTCAGGAAGGCTGAAAAAGCTCATGGGTATGCTATAAAAGGCGGTTTCGTGGATTACTTGCCCTCCAAGAATGCGCTGATACTTGTGTATGGGAAGCAGGGGAAAGTAAAAGAAGCTGAGCAGGTATTCTGCGGAATAGTAAACAAGACGATAGAGAGCTGGAATTCGTTGATGACATCGTTTGTTGAAGCTGGTTTACCTGATGAGGCTCTTTCTGTATTTTCCGAGTTAGAGGAAATGAGTGATCCTTTAAAAGTCAAGGCTAATGTTATCACTTGGACCTCCATTATTAGAGGGTGCGCAACACGAGGAAGAGGAATGGAGTCATTGGAACTTTTCCGAAAAATGCAATTTTCCAACGTATTGCCGAATTCTGTGACTGTTTGTTGTATTCTATCCACTTGTGCAGAGCTGACGGCTTTTAGTCTTGGAAGGGAAGTTCATGGTCATATAATCCGAACCTTAGCGGGTGATAACATTCTGGTTCAGAATGGATTGGTGAACATGTACATGAAATGTGGGTCCCTCAGTGAGGGAGATATGATATTTGAAGTAATGACAGAGAAGGATTTGACATCGTGGAACACGATGATCTCAGGTTATGGTATACATGGGCATGGGGAGAGAGCTCTAGGCATCTTTGATCAAATGATAAAAGCTGGATTCTGTCCTGACGATGTCACTTTGATTGCTGTTCTTTCAGCCTGTAGTCATGCAGGACTGGTCAAAGAGGGCCGCGAGATTTTTTATTCGATGAGTAAGGAATTTGGAATAGAACCCCAAGTACAACACTATGCCTGTATTGTTGATATGCTTGGTCGTGCAGGATTTCTGAAAGAAGCGAGTGAAATATTGAAGAGCATGCCGATAGAGCCCAACACCCGTGTATGGGGGGCTCTATTAAATTCTTGCCGAATGCACAACAACATGGACCTTGTGGAGGAACCAGCATTACAGCTATTCAGTCTTGAGTCGGAAATGGCAGGAAATTATATGTTGCTGTCTAACATTTACTCTGCAGGTGGAAGATGGGAAGAATCTGCAAAGATTAGGGCTTTGGCCAAGACAAGGGATCTAAAGAAAGTTGCTGGAAGCAGTTGGATTGAGGTGAAGAAGAAAGTGTACGTCTTTTCAGCAGGGGCGGCAAAGGGAGTGACAGAGGAGAACGAGTTGCCAAGAATCTACCAAGTCCTTGAGGTTTTGATTTGTAATATGTGGAAAAACAAGCCTACACTCGATGTGAACTTACACGAGGAGAATCTGGATATCTTTGCCGAGTGAGAGATGTAAGTGTTTGATACGCCATACATGGTTTACGTTCGAAAGGGACAAAGGAATGCAGAGGAGAAGCAGGCGAAATAAGGGAAGAAGGGGAGCTGATTGCATTTCCGTTGCAGCATTCTATTCATAGCTATTATGTTTGTTGTTTGTTTGGTTGTTTGAATATGTTAGCCTAGATATTGTTGCGCCAGTTCAGGGATTATAACTGAGCTGTATATATACTTTCAATTTGAGTTTGGTCGGGATTATGGGAATTTTTTGAAAAAGGTCGTTGGGAGTTAGATCATTTGCGTGATGATTTTTATGCCAAGAATCTACGTTCCTGAACAGATTTTTACCGTTTCCTTCGTTTTCTGTTCTACAATCTTTTCTCCATTTCCTGAACTTTAATCCACTCATGTCAATGTCAAGGATCATGATAAAAATAAGATAGCTTCACTGATGATGTTAACCAAAATAAAATAAAAAAGATACGAAAAAGGATATAAACATATTCGAGTGTCTCCAGAAAGCGCTTATTTTATGGTCTTAATCTCGACAGTGAATGTGTCTATTCGTTGGGCTGATGGATGTGGCGTAGTGTTCTTCTCCCGATGTTTTGGTTTCCGGGGTTGTAAATATTCAAGCATTGTGCATTGGTTTTGAACGTTCTCTCTCAGTTACCTTATAACTCAATGGCTTTATTGGGGTACACTCGGTTAATCGTGAAAGGCTTTCATCAACACGATCTCAACTTTCTCGAGAACAACTTGAGTCTTGACTCTTGAGTAAAAGAGAAGTACTTGATGTCCTTCTCGGAATGCTCGTTGCAAGATGATAACATCGGTTTTTCATGATACTTTTCTATACGTTTAGATATATTTCACCCCTCATTTTGTACGATTTTAGATTCTAGATGACATTATAGGCACATATATCATTTCCTTACTCTTTGACGGAATATTAGCGTAATTAGACGAAAAATAAACAAAAAGGGCATTCTCGTAACTTAATTGGATCAAATCGAGTTCATTAATTCATTCCGTGGCAAGAAATCCCATCACGGGACGTTGCGGGATGATAAATGAGCAAGGAACAAACGAAGAACAAAGTCAGAAGCTAATAACTGGTCATAACTATCCGGCAAGGATTGGAGAACTAGGTCTACTGCCAATTCACGACTAACTTCCAACCATAGTCGCTCAAGATCCTCTAGATAACCCTTCATCTTGAGGATATGAGCACTCACGGGCAAACTATTGGACAACTTACAGTTGACCAGGTTCTTCAGGACGTTAAATCGCTCGACTCTTGTCTGCTCCTCAAATATAGTCCTGAGCAGCTCGATCATTTCGAAGGCATTCTGTCCTTCGAGTTGTTTCTGCAACTCAGCGGATATAGATCCGAGCATCAGGCATGTCACGTCCAGGTTGTCATTGACATGCCTTTGGTAAGCATCTCTGACAGCCCTGGTCGCATTGGCCGCGGGTATTATGAAAAACATCCGAGCATCTTTGCTATTTTGACTTCAAGACATACCTTTTTTCCATCTGTGATCCTGTGACCCATGTGACCAAAAATAAAATCTTGGTCACATTGGTCATAACGTTAAATATGACCAATGTCACTAAGATTATATTTCTGGTCACATGGGTCACAGTTGGAGAAGGGGTCTTGAAGTCAAAATAACAAAGGAAGGGTATTTTTGATATGATGTCCATTGGCCCTGGCTCATCCTCAGGAACAGACTCCTCCAACACGTAGAACTTCCGATCATGCCTGAGAACTATTCTCAAGTTGTGGTACCAGTTGATGAAGTTTTCACCAATGAGTTTCTCCCGATTCAGGATGGATTGCATGGAAAAATTAGTCAGATTAACTGCAAGAGTCATGTTCTATAGAAAAAGATAAACAACACAGATAGAAAAATAGGCAAATCGCTTAGTACATATTCAAACACAAACAATAGATACAATGTGACAAACTTTCACTAAGAAAAACACCCGCAATGAGTTTTTAAGTAAGTTAGGATCCATATTTCACATGCTTTTGAATCAGTTAGGGCATGACGTATAAAAAACATGCTATTTAGATAGACAACTCTTTGTCAATCACATCATATGTGACTCCTAGATGAGTGTAAGATAGTGATACGCTATCACTGCATGTTCCTTATCCCATCATTACCATTAGGTATAAGTCCGACTTGATAACCTTGTTGGGTTTCCTAGGATCTCTACAACGAATCCAATTCCTAAGAGATCGGTTATAGGGTTTGCGCAGCGGATGTAAAACAAAAATTTTGTGAAACCCTAAGACCTAACATGCATGATCTTGTAGAAACGTTAGAATGCTTACCTCAATCGATCTGGGGGCTGTATCAATCGATGTGTTCGTCCGATCACTTTAAGACAGGAAGAATACCTCGCCCTCTACACGTATCCACACGGTGGAAAGGATTCCAACGGTTGGAACTCGTCTGCTAGGACTGAAGAACGCTTTCTTCTTTGCGCAAGGGTTTCAGGGATCTAACTCTAGGTTTTTCGCTCTCAAAACTCTCTCAAAAAAGTCTGAAAGTCGACCTCTCTTGCTTAGGAGGCGTTCCCCAAAGTTAATTGCTCTTAAAACCCTAATTTGAGTGAGATAAGGAAATCCCGACGTCTGGACCGATCGGTCCAGCCCTCTGGACCGATTGGTCTGGAATATTTCCGGACTGAACAACATTTGCACGTTACATCTGGACCGATCGATCTACGTCTGAACCGATCGGTCTAGGCTGAGTAGACCGATCGGTCCAGACCTCTAGACTGCTAACATCTAATGCCCATATCCCTAACATGATCTTCATGTTTCGACGAAGGGAGATGCTTCATCAACGCATCAGCAATATTGTCATCTGTCGACACACTGCAAATGTGCACGTCTCCTCTGTCTATGATCTCCCAGATAAGGTGAAATCGTCTGAGTATGTGTTTGGATCGTTGACGGGACCTAGGTTCTTTTACTTGTGCGATTGCTCCATTGTTGTCACAATACAGAGCAATGGGGCTATCAACACTAGGAATGACACCCAGGTCGCCAACAAACTTCCTGATCTAAACAACTTCTTTTGTCGCGTCCAACGCTGCAATATACTCAAAATATAAAGGCCATTAAACTGGTAACCTTTACCATAGAATAAATCACCTCTATAAATGGACAGATCTTTGTTCTCAATAATAAATCTGAAACCGTCCGAGTCTAAGCACGAAATTGATATAATGTTCTTGCTGATAGTAGAAACAAAATAACAATCATGCAACTCCAATACAAGGCTAGAAGGTAAAGTTAGATCATAAGTGCCACGACTAATGCAACAACTTTTGCTCCATTCCCAACACGGAGATCTACTTCTCCTTTTGCCAGTTGTCTACTTCCTCGCAACCCTTTCTGTATCTAATACCCACGATGTAGAAGTAAACAAGTTAGCCTCTATAACGAAGATACCAGAAGTCGATGCTTCTTTAAACTTTTTCTTCTCCAGATCTTCCAGGTAGAGTCTACAATTTCTATACCAATGCCCAACGACACGACAGAAATAATACTCTTCCTTTTTGGACTTCCATTTAAACATGATTGAGAGTATTTCGCATTATATAAGTTAGTTGTTTTAGATGCATTACTCGTATGTCTTCACTATATCACAACTCATTATTAGATAGATCTAATCTAACCATAGTGAAATGAATTACAAATCAAAACCAAACCGAATAATATATAAACGTACATAACCAAATCTATATAATAATTTGATGGATGTTTTTTCCTATGAAGATCACTGGGGGTGGGCACGGATCAGATATCCGGAGTTTTTCAGATATTTGTATCCGTATCCGATCCGTACAAATATTATATTTTGTTATCCGTATCCGATCCGTAGTTTTCGGATATCCACAATTTCGGATATCCGTAAAAACTACGGATATTTGCAAATATTCGTATCCGATACAAAAATAATAAAAATAAAAAATTAAATTAAAAAACTAAAACAAAAATAAGAGTGAGATGAGAGGTGAGTCGAGCAGCAGCAGCCACACTGTGCAACGGCAGCAACGATTGCACGCATCCGAGCTCTCCAAGGCTCCTACAGAAGCAAGAGAATGAACCCCGAACGCATGAAACTTCTCTGGACAGGTCACAAGGCATTCACGAAACACCTCTAACAAGACATAACATGAGAAGACAATATTCATCGGAAGAATCTACGGATAGAGAATATCACGGAGATGGAGAACTGTCGGAACCTGGAAGGAGAGAAAGAGGCGAATCGGCGACGGGGCGTAGAAGATTGGGGAGGACGGAGGCGGGGGAGCGCCGCTGGAGGAGAGCGGAGCAACGGAGCTCTCGTTGCGGCGGAGACGAAGGCAGAAGACAGAGAATTACCGGAGACTGAGAGAGGGAGAGAGAGAGAGACAAAGAGGGAAAGCGGCGACAGAAGAAGAACTCACGTATACGTGAGTGTTCTTGACAAAACCCTAACTTAAAGTTTTATTTTTTATAAAGTTAGCTTATATATAAACTAATTACAAAACTAGCCATATATTATTAATATTACTAAAAAGTACGGATCAGATCGAATATATCGGATATTTGTATTTTGATATCCGTATCCGATTCGTATCCGACAAATATTTTGAAACCAATATCCGTATCCGATCCGTGGACTCCGGATATCCGAATTTTCGGTTCGGATACGAGTCGAATAACGGATCGGATCGTTTTTTCGGATATTATGCCCATCCCTAAAGATCACATCCGAAAAAAATATAGAAATAAGAGAAAATTAAACTTTTTCAAAAAAAAAATATTTTTTTTTTTGAAAAAAATGATCAATGAAAATCGAATTTGAATGCTCTTACAATTTAATACAAAATGAATGGTTAAAGTTTTTAAAAAACTGAAAAACAAATATAAAAAAATAATCAAATCAAATTTAAAAGCATCGGTGAAATTGGTGGAATTCTTTTAGGGGTGGGCATTTTAAAATTCGGATGAGAATTTTAATTCTTCAGTTCGGGAACGATTTATTCATACCAAATAAATATCATATGTTATCGGTTCGATTCAGTATTGGTATCGGTTCGATACGGTACAGTGTTAATAAGTAAGTATCAAATAAGGATCAAAATTATAATTGTCCGAAATGGTCCGAGATAATTTAGATTTTTTATGTAACGATTCATAACCATTAGATACCGTTTGAACTTATTTGGAAATTTTTAATATGATGAAATAAATAAATTAATAAAGACACAATAAATATTGTTATTTATTTTATCAAAACACACCAAATGAATATCATTGTATTAATATTTAATATTTTTAAATAAAAAAATCAAAATATTATTCCGTATTTTCCAAACCGAATCTTAATTTTATACTATTGAATTTTTTTTATAATATCGATTCAAACCAAAATATAGATAATCGATTTGGTACGGTTTATCTCGAATCGAAGTATCTACCTTAGTTTTTCCATTTCTCTAAACAAATATAAAAATAATCAAAATTCAGACTAATATAAAAACGATAATTCTAGAAGATGATATAAAAAAAAAATGTAATTTGCAGGTAATCGGTGGTCTAAACCAACGAAGAAAGCGGTTCAAACGCATTGGGTGTAGGTGCGTTTACCCTAACCTCCGTTTCACAAACAACCCACTCCCACTCCCATTCCAATTTCGAAATTCGGGTCGCCGGAGGTATGCCGTCTCCTCCGTCGCCGCACACGGTGGTTCGTCACCGCTTCGCCGCCTTCCTCATCTGGCAATCCATCCTCGGCTCCGTTATCTTCGTCCTCTTCCACCTTCTCCTCTCAGCCTCCTCCGTTGTCTCCGCCTTCCTCGCCTTCCTCTCGTTCCACATGTTTCAGCTTCTCTTCTCCTTTTCTCTCGCTACCCTCTCTTCTCCGATCCCCGATTCTCCGCTTTCTCCGCTTCGATTCGTTCTCGGGCTCCGCCTCGGCCTCTCAGATCCCGAGTTCCGCAGCCGTGCTCTCATCTCCTTGCGTGTCGTGCTCTTCGTCTCCGCATCTTCTCTCGCTGGGTTCACATCGGCGGCTGCGTTTTGCTTGGCCAATAATGCCGCCGGAGTGATTGGAAGAGCTGGGTTCAGAGGATTTGTCACTGGGTTGCTCTATGCGTCGCTTTTCGTCCGTAAGCAGAGATGGGTTCTGGAGTTTCCCATCATTCAGGTGACATTACAGACCAAGCTTTACACATTTCTTCGAACAATCATGTTAGTTTCAGTGAAAGTTGCTTCTTGATGTTCATAGAGTGTTTACTTATGGTGGCGATTCTTTGTATCGGCAGCGACCTCCATTTTTCAGCTTCAAGATTGGACTCCCTGCAGCGCTAAAACAAGCCCTGAAGCTGTCGGGTGGGCTCTATTTGCTGTCGACCATTCTACTTGTGTTCCTATTGGATTGGTCGGGTGGGCTTGAGTCGGTGTCGGGATTCTTGGTCGAGCAGGTCATCTTTTATGCGGGCAGTTTCGCTCTGATCCTCTGTTGGGAAGTGACTCACCACTTACATCAGGTTCGTATGTCTTCTCAGTAAATATCTACGCTAATATGCGTACTCTTCTGTTTGCACCTCGAGCCCGAATATCCATGGATGTGTCAGTCGTGTATATCAATATTCATGTAGACTTTGTCTTCCTCGTTGAAGCGACATGTACATCATATAAGATTTAGAAGCCCTTTAGTTTAACTGAATGAAGCAGATCTACGTGCAATAAGTCTGAAATTGTAGCAAGTTGAGGGAAACCCACCCTTTTTTTTACATTGGGAGTGGATGAGGTCAGGTTGCAAAATGTTGAATGCAACAGTAAATACTGCTCGTCTTTTCTGTATACGTTAAGTATACTATTGATTAGTTTGTGCTGCCTAAACACTTTTCGTTACCATCTACGAGTTCTGTTCTCTACGCTCTGTTTTCTCTCCTGACGTTTTTTTTTTTGAAAAGGGTCATGACGTAAAATAGTTCATTATATTCTCACTCTGTTTTTTCAGGTTCTACACACGAAAAGATTCATTTTTGCACCACCAAAAGGATCAGCAGCAGCAGAAACAAATCCAAGCGAGCCTCTTCTTGCGGCTTTAGAGGGGAGTTCTCCAGGTTCCCTCCTCCAGTGTCTTGCATACCTCGATCTCTTCATGGTGTCTCGAAATAATGTTGACACATGGCGTCGGGCTGCTTTCTTTGAAGAAACCACCGAGACTTACAAGAGAGTCATCCGCGTATGCTTGAGGCCTTTGGAAGAGCTTGCCTCTAAATTATCCTCTGGATTAGACTACACTTTTACTGAGAAAGGCTACCAAACACCACACCACCAGATGACAACCGAGTCGTATATAGATCCTAAATTCGGGGAGTCCCTTCAATTTTTCCAGGTTAGAGCACTTATTTCACTGCCTCCCTCCATTATTTGCCTTTGCAAATTTCAAATTTGAAACACTTGTATCATTGCTTTCGATCTTCCAAAACTGGAAGCTTTTATCTCGTTCCCAACGCTTTCTGGGGACTGTGACCGAAAACTCAGTTCTGGTTTCTCGGAAAGATGAATTCTTTAAAACATACAAGTATTTTTTGCAATCCGTCTAATACTCTCTAATCATTTCCTGCATATGATTTGTGCAGTTATATGCATGGTGTGCTCAAACAACGGCCTCCCTCACCGCCATCTCTCGCAAGGAAGACAGGCTCGGTGTAGCCCAGTTGTCGGGTGGGAACACCGATGTTGTCTCGACCCTTATATCGCTTCTTCTTGCGGTTGAAACGTTTATGGGGAAGAAAACCAATTTGCAATCGCCTCAGCAGCTGATGGGACCTGCCGGTATGAAATGGGCGACCTCGAGCATTGGGAGGAAAGATGTTAAGCCCGTCAAAAGGAGAGATGGGCCTATATATTCGCGTGCCTTCGCGGTTGCAGATGTTTTGAGGGTATCTATATACCGAGTTGTGTCTGATTTCCGAGATGAGATGCTCACCAGTGACAGGGCAGGACTTCTCGGAAGGGATTGGATCGGTAGCAAGAAACCGCCTTTCGGAACACGAGATATGTTGCTGCAGAAGGTTCGGCTCTTCCTCGAACTCCAGGCTTGATAGTGTAGTCTAAGAATATGGAAAAGGAAGAATCTTGAAGAGTTTCTGGAAAATATCAGATGTAATGAGATTGAGATCTTTGAAGTGTAATTCCTGGTTTTTGCGGAAATTATAGCATAGAAAATCTGTTGTTAAACACCTTGATTTGTATTTGATTATGTTGAAGGGTGGATATTTTGAGTTTTAGTTCGTTTTCCACTCGTTTTTTATTTTATTTAAAATATTATTTCCATTTATTTTTACATTGGTTTTTTTTTTGTTTCACTCAGATTCCGTGTTTTTTTTCCCATGATTCTGATGTAAAACGGCTCCATTCAATTCGGCCAAAATTGATTCAACATGATTATGCATATCTTGTAAGAAACGTTAGAACGCTTACTTCAATCGATTCGGGGTCTCTTTCAATTGATGTGTTCGTCCGATCACTATAGGCAGGAAGAATACCTTGCCCTCTAAATGTATCCACACCTAGGGATGGATTCCAACCTTTGGAACTTGTCTGTTAGGACTCGAATCTTCTATTCGATAATGTGCTTTTAGAAAACGAGATCTAGATCACTTCTTCAACCCTCTAGACTCTCCAAAAAGGTTTGAAGAAGCTCTCTTTTTCGACCCCTTCGTGTTAGGGTTCTATTTACCCTAGATTTGGACTTTAAAATTAAATCCGAACCCCAGAGCGAACGGACTGCTTAGTAGTCCGTTCGGTCTGGACACTTGGTCTGTTCGAACCAGTCACATGACATGGTCCGTTCGGTCCGACGATTCAGTCCGTTCGGTCCGACGATTCAGTCCGTTCAGTCCGACGATTTAGTCCGTTCAGTCCAACACTTGCTCCGTTCGGACTGAACTCTCTAGTCCGTTCGGTCCAACAAATTGGTCCGTTCGGACTAGATGCTCCGGTCCGTTCTGTCCACTTCTTAGACCAGACGGTTCGGACCTCTGTCCAGATTTCTCGACGTTTTCTCGTGTGTTTGTCCTTCCCTGCGTGTGTCACCCTGTAGGTTCATTCGATATAGCAGTATAACCCGAAATCTTTATTCCGGACATACAAGTCATGTAACGACCCGTGACCGCTACGAATTGTCAAAACTGCCCCCAACGGCAACCCGAGACCTTTCAGCGTGTTTTGTCCTCTCTCGCACGCATATCGAGATACTTCCTAGTAGATCACCCATCCTGAGATTGCTCCAGAGCCAGCACGCTTAACTTTGGAGTTCTCTCGGGATAGTCAACCAAAAAGGTAGGTGCACCTTGTTGCTATGAGTAACCCAACTAATTCTTTTTATGTTATCTTAGACTGTATAGTCCCATACCAATACAGCTCTCGGATCTCTCTCATTCCGGTGTGTACGATTCATCCCTGTACCCCCTACCTAGAAGCTCGTCAGGAGCCGCTCCTTGTCCGTGCCTCTGCACCGGTGATCACTCCCCGCCCTCCTACGGTACTCTGGGTTGTCACAAGTCATAGGCGGTCTCTAGCAAGACACTATGACTACCTATCTCGAATAGAGTTTGTTCGTGATCTTACGAACGCCAGTCATGATTCCGATTGATGATCCTTTTGTATCACGATATCATATATCGAATATAAGGCATGGACAAACCACCTTATCTGATTCGACTGCTTTCTCGTTCACTGAGTTCGACTGTCTGAAATAGACGACGTTCGTCTATAGTGCGGTCACACATTTCTACAGTCTTACTCACACGAGGGGTCCAGCGATATCTCTCTCTTTTATGAGAGGTACAAATCCCGTCTTGACTATCTACAATCCAGCACATGATTTGTTTCGTACCTGATACACGCCTTTATAGTCCTCCTGTTACGCAGGACGTTTGACGTAATCAAAGCACGTAACTCCTCATGTTGGATTCCGTAGATATCTCAGGTCTTAGGATCCAATTATGGAACCGTCATATGAGATTCAAGTCATGACGCTAGTCCATGTGACAATCTCATGCGGGTCATTCCAGTATTC